GGACTGTCTACAGATGTCACACTTAACTCCTGGAATGATTCAGCATTGACTAAAAAAAAAAAATCCTGCAAATCTCTTGGGAAGACATAAATTTCGCTGGACTGGCCACATTGTCCGAATGCCCGATCATGAACTCCTACAGCAGTTATAATACTCCCAACTCAAGAATGGGAAACACAATGTTGGTGGACAGGAAAAGAGATTTAAAGATGGGCTTAAAGCCAACCTTAAAAACTGTGGCATAGACACTGAGTACTGGGAAGCCCTGGCCCTTGAGCACTCTAACTGGAGGTCAGCTGTGACCAGCAGTGCTGTAGAATTTGAAGAGGCACGAATGGAGGGTGAAAGGGAGAAATGTGCCAAGAGGAAGGTGTGTCAAGGCAACCCTGACCAGGACTGACTTCCACCTGGAAACCTATGTTCTCACAGTGAAAGGTCAAGAATAGGTTTCTACCCACCGCCAAGACACTACACTTCGAGATCTATCATTCTACGAGGGATCGCCTAAATAAATAAGTATGTGTGTTATTATTATACATTGGTTGTATTATTGTTATTATATCTATTTACATCTCACTTTTATCTCTTGATTGAGATAAAAGATAAATCTCTATCTATTTGGTCCAGATCCATTAAGCCATGGAGAAGCCTTTGTGATATAAACCAACCAAACAACATATATACTTTCTTTGATCTCTATCTATCTATCTATCTATCTATCTATCTATCCAGCTATAGTGCATGTGTGTGAATGGCTTATGGTCTAGGCCAGGAATGGACAAACTTCGGCCCTGCAGGTGTTTTGGACTCCAACTCCCACAATTCCTAACAGCCTACTGATTGCTAGGAATTGTGGGAGTTGAAGTCCAAAACACCTGCAGGGCCGAAGTATGGTCTAGGCAGTAATAAATTACATATTTCTATATAAGGAAAGACCTTTTTGTCTGTAAGAGCTGGAAGCGTGGTGAGATCTCACCCCAAGTTTTAATATTTTATCTTGTACATGCTCATCATTATTGTGATTGTGAATGATTTTTTATATTGTTTACTGTATGTATTTTACTCTATTGTTGTTGGTGTTGTTGCAACTCAGGGTAGTTTCACCTTGCTCCCAAACACCACCACACCACAGCTGTAGATTTTGTAGTTTATTGAGAAAAAAGCAAAGTCAAATCATAAAATAAGAAATGCAAATGTTTCATAGCAGGACAAAGGCTTGAATGCAAAAACACAGTTCCTAAGATCCAAAGGCAAAAACATGAAGCATAATCCTTTTGGAAATGATCAAACAAGAGTCCATGGTAGAACAGTGAAACACAAGACCCAAAATCCCAGATTCTGGAAGCCAAAAGTGTGCTGCTTAAAGCCAAGGTTAATCCATAGAACTTTGCATGGAAAGAGCCACGTTGAACTGACAACTCCCGTTTGTCAGCCAGAAGGCTAAATACCCTTTGCAAACATGAACGCATTGCGATGACCCTTGGCCGACTTGGCTTCTCGCTTACCAGCTAAGCGAGAGCTCCTCTGAACCCTTAATTCTAAGCGTTCTTGCCTGCTCATTAATTCACTATCTTCAAGGCTTTCTTTATCTTGGTCCAGCTGGGCTAGATCACCATGGGAAGGCTGAGAAGGTGAAGACAACTCCACCTGGCCGTTATCTATCCCACTGACTTTCCCCCCCCCTGAGAACTGACTTGATGTTTCCCCTGCTGTACTGTCTGAAGCAGGCGCAACAGAAATCTGAATCCCATCATCCTCTTCATCAGGGAACTGTGGGTCTTGGAACTCTGGCTCACAAGACCCACAGGGTTCAGTTTCAGACTCAGAATCAAACTGAGTCACAACAAGTGTTTTGGTTTTATTTGTCTTCATGTATATGTTTTTAGGGCTTGGCCTCATGTAAGCTTCTCCGAGTCCTCGTTGGGGAGATGGAGGTGGGGTATAAATAAAGATGATGATGATGATGATGATGATTACTATTATTATTATCTCTATCTATAAACAGTTTTGATGGGCATCTTTTGGGAATGCTTTAGAAGTATCTTCCTGCCTGGCAGAATGGGTTGGACTAGATGACCCTTGGGGATCCCTTGCAGATATAAGATCCTATAATCCTCACATCATCTCCACCACTTATAGAGTCTCCAGCTGGCTCTGTAAAAAGAGCAGATAATCCTAAACCAAAAGTATTTCCGCTGGCCTTTCAGCTCTGCATATTACTTCATCTCTTTCCTTTTTTCTCTTTGATGAGATGTAAGAAATGGCTTTCTCTGCTGCTGCTCCTGCTCTTCATTTCCATGAAAGGAAGCCACCCTCCCATTGCTTCAGAGGGCCACTAACAGCCTGAGCCAACGCACACATATACTCTCCGATTTATGAAAATATATTCTATCCTTTTCGGGATAATTTGACACAAAGAGGATCCTGCCGGGAGACGCGAAAAACTCTCTGTAAATGAACAGAGTTCAGGAAAGGAAGCCTTCATTAAAAAGAAAAGTCGCGGACTGTCTTGGGTTTGAGAAGGAAGTTGAAAGACCCAGAAAAAGGTCTTGAGGTGTCTTAATGGGATGCGTGCCAGAAGCCCAGCAGTGAAGCCGTTTCGAAAAGTCGTGCATGTGGATCCTGTAATCTTTTCTATCCAAAATGTTCTGAAGTGGAAAGTAATTTAGTGACAATATAACTTTTTTTTTGCAGAGAAAAGACACTGATGTTCAAACACAGCATTCAAGCTGGAACAGACTTCTGTCCAAAGAGCCAAGTCTGGGTGCATCTGCATTGCAGAAATGAGTCAAAAGCCCTCTCCAAGGTGCTGCATCCAATTGTGAACTTAAGGTGTCCAGAATGAAGGCAGATTGACTCCCTTTGAACTGCCCTGGATCAATGCTATGGAATCTTGGGAGCTGTAGTTTGGTGTGGTCCTAGCATTCTTGGGCAATGGAGGCAAAACATATTGTAAAACTACAATTTCAAAGATGCCATAGCAAGGAGAGGAAGAAGAGGAAGAGGAAGAGGAGGAGGAGAACAAAAAGAAGAGGAAGAGGGGAAAACAAGAGGAGGGGCAGGGAGAAGAAGGAGAAGAAGGAGAAGGAGAAGAAGAGGAGAAGGAGAAGAATAAGAGGAGAAGAAGGAGAAGAACACGGAGAAGAGGAGGAGAAGGAGAAGAAGAACAGGAGAAGAAAAAGGGGGAAGAAGGGGAAATGAAAAAGGGGAGGAAGAACAAGAAGAAGGGGAAAAATAAGGAAGAGAAGAGGAGGAGGAGAGGAGGAAGGAGAGGAAAAATGGGAGGAAGAAGAAGGGAAAGAAGAAGAAAGGGGGGAGGAGGAGAGGAGGAAAACGAGGAAGAGGAAGAATGGTGATGAGGAGAAAGTGAAGAAGAGGAATGAGAAGAAAAAAAGAAGAAGAAGAAGAAGAGATAAGAAGGAGGAGGAGGAGTAAAAGAGGAGGAGCAGGGAGAAGAAGAACAAAGAAGAAGAGGAGAAGAAGTAGAAGAGGAAGAAGGGGAAAAGAAAAAGGGGAGGGAAAAGAAGGGAAAGAAGGAGAGGAGAATAGGAGGAGAGGAGGAGAGGAAGGAAGGAAAAAAAGGGAGGAAGAAGAGAAAGAGGAGAAGAGGGGAAAGGAAAGAGGAGGAGGAAGAAAGTAGAGAAGGGAAGGAGAAGAGGAAGGGGAAGAAAAGGGGAAGAAAGAAGAAGGGAAAGAAAATGGACTAGGAGAAAGAGGAAAAGGAAAAAGAATGGGGAGGAGGAGAAGGTGAAGAAGAGGAATGAGAAAAAGAGGGGGGAAAGGAGGAGAATGAAAAGAAGGAGGAGAAGGAGAAGAGAAGGGGAAAGAAAAGAAGAGGGGGAGGAAGAAAAGTAGAGAAAGGTGGAGAGGAGGAAGGAGAAGAAAAGGGGAAGAAAGAAGAAGGAAAAAGAAGAAGAGGAGAAGGAAGAAGAATGGGGAGGGTGATAAGGCGAAGAAGAGGAATGAGAAGAAGATAGGGAAAAGAAGGAGGATGAAAAGAAGAAGGGGTGGAGAAAAAGAGGAGGAAAAAAGGAGATGAAGAAGCAGAGAAAGAAGGAGGAAGGGAAGTGGAGGAGAGGAAGGAGAAGAAAAAGGGGAGGGAGGTGGGGAGAAGAAGGAGAGAAGGAGAAGAGTAGGGAAAGGGAAAGAAGAAGAGGAAGAAAAGTAGAGAAGGGGAGAAGAGAAGGGAAAGAAGGACTAGGGGAGGAGGAAGAGGAAGAAGAAGAAGGGGAGAGGAGACGAAGAAGAGGAATGAGAAGAAGAAGGGGAAAAGGAGAAGGAGGATGAAAAGAAGAAGGGGAGGAGAAAAAGAGGAGGAAGAAAAAAGAGCATGAAGAAGAAGGGAAAGAAGAAGGTGAAGTTGGAGAAGAGGAAAATGAAGAGGAGGAGGAAGAGAAGAAGGGGAACTAGCAGGAAGAAAAGAAGAAAGGGAAGAAAGGGAAGATGTCAGCACTAGCTTCTGCCAGCCTAGCAGTTCGAAAACATGCAAATGTGAGTAGAGCAATAGGTACCACTCCGGTGGGAAGGTAACGGCGCTCCATGCAGTCATGCTGGCCACATGACCTTGGAGGTGTCTACGGACAACGCGGGCTCTTCGGCTTAGAAATGGAGATGAGCACCACACCCCAGAGTCAGACATGACTGGACTTAATGTCAGGGGACAACCTTTACCAACCTATTATTATTAGGAGTAGTAGTATACTGCATTACATTATAATATTATAAGTATTATATGTATATACAATATATTATATTGTATTACATATTATATTATTATAAGAAGGGAAAGAATGAGGAGGAGGAGAAGGAGGAAAACGAGGGGGGGGGGAGAAGAAGAAACAACAACAACAGCAGCAGCAACAACAACAACAACAGCAAGTGAAGTTTCCCAAACAACTGCAATCCTGCTCCAGCGTGTGGGAGGTAGCCTTCCAACCGGAACCGGAGTGCGTTGGAACTATGTTCCGGGGGAACAATAAACAGCGTTACTCCCGACGCTGCTCAGCGGTTGCCGTGGCAACGCGAAGGGCCTGCAGGAAGAAACCAGGCCTGGAAGGCAAGCCTCGCTTTACAAGGATTTCAGTGAGGCCTGTTGTGAAGATGAACCGATGGAGCTGAGCTGGAACCAAAGCAGCTCCTTTCCGGATTATTCTGGGGATACATTTACATCCTTCAGTGAAGATGAAGAAGAAGAAACCTGCAGAGAATATGACAGTGAACCATTCCCTTCCTATTCCTCTGGAGAGGACACCGAATGGCCTGCTTCCTGGGATCAGTCTGAAAATACTAACCAGTCTTCAAGTCACAATAGTGAAGGTGTGTCCAGCTGCCAGTAGGTTTTGGCTTTGGAGAAGAGTTTTGGGATGTGTGAGCCATTAAAAATGTATTGTATCACAGGCACGGCTGGCGGGGACGAGAGACAGGGCCTTCTCAGTGGTGGCCCCTCAGCTGTGGAACGCCCTTCCCGCAGACATTAGATCGGCCCCCTCCCTGCTGGCGTTCAGAAGAAGACTGAAGACCTGGCTCTTTGAACAGGCGTTTAATTAAGCAGTGCAATTAACTGATTGATCTTGGAACTTGGAATAATGGATGAGGAAATCGGATTATGACTTTACTGATGAGACGTGATGGGTTAGTTGTATTGACGTTATATTGATGTACTGATGTATTGTTATATTGATGTAGTTGTCTTAGTTACTGTTTTTAAATGCGAATGTTGTGCACTTTGTATATTGACCTGTTGTAAACAGCACTGAGTCGCCTACGGGCTGAGAGAGTGCGGTATACAAATAAAGTAAATAAATAAATAAATATTGTCGAAGGCTTTCATGGCCGGAATCACTGGGTTATTGTAGGTTTTTTCAGGCTATATGGCCACGTGATGTGCGGGGCTTGATGAATGCAAAGCTGGGGTTAAAATTGCTGGAAGAAACATTAACAACCTCAGATATGCAGATGACACCGCTTTGATGGCCGAAAGCGAGGAGGAGCTGAGGAGCCTTCTAATCAAGGTTAAAGAAGAAAGCGCAAAAGCCGGGTTGCAGCTAAACATAAAAAAAAACGCAAGATTATGGCAACAAGAATGATTAACAACTGGAAAGAGGGAGAAAATGTGGAGGCCGTGACAGACTTTGTATTTCTAGGTGCAAAGATTACTGCAGATGCAGACTGTGGCCAGGAAATCAGAAGACGCTTACTTCTTGGGAGGAGAGCAATGTCCAATCTCGATAAAATAGTAAAGAGTAGAGACATCAGAATGGCAACAAAGACCCGCCTAGTCAAAGCCATGGTATTCCTTGTAGTAACCTACGGATGTGAGAGCTGGACCTTAGGGAAGGCTGAGCGAAGGAAGATAGATACTTTTGAACTGTGGTGCTGGAGGAAAGTTCTGAGAGTGCCATGGACTGCGAGAAGATCCAACCAGTCCATCCTCCAGGAAATAAAGCCCGACTGCTCATTGGAGGGAAGGATACTAGAGACAAAGTTGAAGTACTTTGGCCACATCATGAGGAGACAGCAAAGCCTAGAGAAGACAAATATGCTGGGGAAAGTGGAAGGCAAAAGGAAGAGGGGCCGACCAAGGGCAAGATGGATGGATGGCATCCTTGAAGTGACTGGACTGACCTTGAAGGAGCTGGGGGTGGTGACGGCCGACAGGGAGCTCTGGCGTGGGCTGGTCCATGGAGTCAAGAAGAGTCGGAAACAACTGAACGAATGAACAATATAACAAGAATAACGAAAAGCTGTTACTAATTTCGTTATAGTAATTGTGCATATTAATTGCTATAATTGGGGAAAATTCAGGGAATCCCTTTCTCCGCCATTTTTAAAGCTATTGGAGTGAAACTTGCTACAATGGTAGAACACATTGACCACTCTTAGTCCACCAAATTTCAGAACATTTCCCTTATCCACGGATGTTTGGAAAAATTTCAAAGTTTTTATAAACAGCATTTACAAAAACTACAAGAGGATTGCTCTGAGTTTTCCGGGCTGTAGGGCCGTGTGCCAGTAGTATTCTTTCCTGACATTTCGCTCATATCTATGGCAGGCATCCTCAGAGGTTGTGAGGTCAGGCCTCACAAACTCTGAGGATGCCTGCCATAGATGTGGGTGAAACGTCAGGAGAGAATACTACAGGAGCACTTACAACCTCTGGGGATGCCTGCCATAGATGTGGGGGAAACGTCAGGAGAGAATGCTTCTGGAACATTCACAACCTCAGAGGATGCCTGCCATAGATGTGGGTGAAACATCAGGAGAATGCTTCTAGAACATTCACAACCTCCGAAGATGCCTGCCATAGATGTGGGTGAAATGTCAGGAGAGAATGCTTCTGGAATATTCACAACTTCTGAGGATGTCTGCCATAGATGTGGGTGAAATGTCAGGAGATAATGCTTCTGGAGCATTTACAAGCTCTGAGGATGCCTGCCATAGATGTGGAGGAAACATCAGGAGAGAATGCTTCTGGACTTCACAACCTCTGAGGATGCTTGCCATAGATGTGGGTGAAATGTCAGGAGAGAATGCTTCTGGAACATTCACAACCTCTGAGGATGCCTACCATAAATGTGGGGAAAACATCAGGAGAGATCCGGGCCGGGGGGGCGGGGGCGGGCAGTGCCAGTTAGCTTGTAGAGTTTATCAAAAGGTGTAGGTTTAAGACATCCTGTGATTATTCTGCATGTTTCATTCAATGGTATGTTCACCAGCTTTGCATGGGCAGACTTATTCCAAACAGGGCAGGCATACTCAGCAGTTGAGTACGACAAGGCTAGGGCTGATGTTCTTATTAATTTTGGTTCTGCACCCCATGTGCTGCCAGTAAGTTTTCGCAGGATGTTATTGCATGCAGCAATTTTGTGCTTGGTGTTCAAGCAGTGTTTCCTATATGCTAGTGTTCGATCTAAGGTGACACCGAGATATTTAGGATGGAAACAATGTTCAAGTTCTTGACCTTCCCAGGTGACTTTCAGTTTCCTATTGGCTTCACAAAAACAATTGGAAGCATACGTAACTCAGATGTAAGGCATTAAAAGTTTACCGAAAGTTAACTTTCAAGAGAGAGTGCACAGGATGGTTGTGCGTCCATTGCATGCTTTATTTAAAGTAAAGTTGTCTCTGTGTATCCATGGGTTATGCATCCACTGATTCAACCATTTTTTTTATTTGGGGGAGGGATCCAAAAAGCAAAGCATGATTTTACTATGGCATTGGATATAATAGAACTTGAGCATCTGTAAATTTTGGTACCAATTGCGAGGTCTTCGAATCAAATCACCATGTACACCAAGGCCCACTGCCACTTCCATAGTAGTTACTGGGAATTTCTCTTGGACCAGCATGTATAGGATTGCTATTCTAGTCTTCCATGGGTAGAGAGCTTCCTTCAGGGACTCCATTGAATGCAACACCCAAGTCTCTGTGTTGATACAGTTGGTGAACCAGCTTTGGTTTCCAAGTGTCCTTCATTGACTATTGATTTGGTGCCAAACATCATCGGCATGCCTCATGTACAGGCTGCTTTGTGCTTTTGTTCTCCTTTCAAATGGCATTGTTGTCTTTGTTATTATTTCCCCAAGTAATGTGGCTCAAAGTGACCTAAAATTGTATTGTCGAAGGCTTTCATGACTGGAATCACTGGGTTGTTGTAGGTTTTTTCGGGCTAGACCATGGCCATATAGCCCGAAAAAACCTACAACAACCCAGTGACCTAAAATTATTAAGTCCAATACAGTTTAAAAAACATACAATATTCATGCAACTCTCTCTCTCTCTCCACTTTTTTAAAAAAGTAATAAAGAACAGAGACTTTTTGGACCCAGCAGCATCCAGGGAGTATTTAACTAGAAAATGGATCAATCGTCTGAACGTCAAGAAAGCTACTACTACTGCAGTTGCCAGATCTACTGTGAAACCAGCTAATGGTGAGTTCATGTTCAGAGTCACTTAGAAGCTGACAGAAAACACTAATTTCTCTCTTCAAGCCCTTCCGCTGTTGACTGGCTGGCACCTGTTTCTCTCTTTCTCATATTTCTCTTCCTCTCTTCAGAATATCCAAACAATCCCATGGCCAAGGCCATGATTGTCTGCCATCTGCATATGAGGGCTGTTTTTTTTCTCTGGATAGCAGCCTCTTTCTATTTCTGACACTTTCTTGCTTTCAGAATTGGTTTATAATAATATTTTTTGTTCTTGTGATTGTAGAATGGATGCTTGTGTGAAACTCAATCCTCCAGTTTGTGGCACATCACTTGGGGTCTTTGGCCTCTTTTATATTTTTAATTTCATCATAAAATCCTCTTAACTGTGATAGACTGGGAGTGACAAATAACTCACTGAGAAGATTGACAGACCTGGAAAAAATTAGCTTAGCTGTTTGTTTGCCTGGTCCTGTCTTTGCAGGTTTTCTTAGTCTTTGGCTCTTGACTCAACTGCCTCAAGAGAGGTGTCCTTTGTATGGCACAAAGCAACCTTTTCTGCTTTCAGTTTTTGCATTTGGTTTTGTAGAGAAGTGTTCATTATACTGTGTTTCAAACTGTGTTTAGGCTTTACATTGTGGCCAGGGCCTAGCTGAGAGAGAGATAGGTTGCCATGGTGACAAGCCAGAGGAGGTGGGCGGAGCTTAGGTAAAAAAGGTTTGAAAGCGACAGTTTATTTTCAGTCAGGCGGATGAGACCCTGAGGAGAGTAGCAGAGTCAAGGAGGCTCTGTGGAGTAGTGTAAATTCAGTTAGTTCTTAGGTTTTGTGAATATTATTCCAGCTAGGAAGCTGAAGGTGGAAACTCGTTAGATTGCTTGAGTAGAAAAGAAACAAGAAAGGGTTTCAGGGATCCCAGTGGTGAAAATCTGGAGATCGTTGGTTTGATCCGGTGAAGGACAAACAGTTGTAAATATTCACAATAGGGAACACTGAAATAATAAAGTACCTCACTGTAGAAAGAGTTAAAGGATTGTAACATCGGAAGACTCAATGTAACTCAACCAAGCCATTTTGTATCCATCAAGCTTGTGCCAAGTTCAACAGTTTAATTTTGCAACAATTTACGCTCTGATAACAATAAACCTGTTCTTTTTGTGTTTTAAACTTGCCTCCTTCACTGATTTCCACGTTTGAAGCATTCCACACTACTCAAGGTGCCTCACAACACAGATAAGGATAACCAGAGATCATTTTTACCAATATCACTTATATTATGGTGGCAATTTAAGCTAGAAGTCTCAAATCTTTATTACATCTGTGTGGTGATCCTATTTATTTGGGATTTTACACCATTATTTCATTTTGGAGACTTCCTCACATATTTTGGTGGCAGCAAGTGAACGGTTTTAAATTTTAGTAACAAGCGGTGGGAGTCACGGCTTCGCAAATTTGGTGGCAGACGACGGGATTCGTGTAACAGCTAATCGAGTGCCTTAAGTTTAATTTTGAAATAAGTTGTGAGGTAAAAGTTGCTGAAAAATGGCTACCAGGCGGCAGAGAAAGCTAGCTGAGGAAAGAGTAGAGGAAAATTCGAGCTCTGAAACAGATGAGCCAATACCTTTCTCAGAAATGGCTTTTAAGTACAAGTTAGAGATGAAACGATTGCAAATCGAGATGGAAGAGAGACAGAGAGAAAGAGAACTTGAAATGGAGAAAGAGGCAAAACAGAGAGAGTTTGAAGAAAGACAGAGAGTGAGAGAATTGGAACAGGAGTTAGAATTGAAGAGAATGGAGTTTGAGCTAGAGAAACAAAGATTGGCTTTGTCTCGAACAGCCAGTGAAACCCAGGAGGGAAGATCTGGAGGAAATACCCCAGATTTGATGAAGAAATTCCCAAAATTCAACAAAGACGATGATCCAGAGAAATTCCTAATATCTTTTGAGAGATGTTGTCGAGATTTTGATGTGGCTAAAGAAAGATGGATGACAAACCTAAGGCCACAAATAAGTGGGAAACTTTTGCAGATTTATGGACAGATGCCTGAGGAGTCTTATGGAGACTATGATCTGTTTAAGAAGCAGATTCAACAAGAATTTAGATTGACTCCTGAATATTATAGATTTAAGTTCAGGACAATAAAAAAGGATAAAGCTCAAAGTTTTGCTCAGGTGGCCTCAAGACTGTCTCAACTGTTTGATAGTTGGATAAGGACGTCGGAGGTGGAAGATTATCAACAGCTGAGGGAACTTTTGAAGCTGGAGCAGTTTTTTCAAATATTGCCTTTTGATATTCGGTGGGTGATTCAAGATCGCAAGCCAGCCACTGTTGTAGAGGCAGCGGTTATGGCAGATCAAATTACAACCTTAAAAGAGGGATTTAAAAGAGAAGATCCACCAGGCGAAAGAAGAGTAAACAAGCCGCCATTTTATCCACATCAAACGCGCCCACAACCAGGGAAGGTTTCTGACTTAGAAAACACCATCTATAGGAGGCAGAGTGTAACAAGACAAACCTCTCCTGAGGTAAAAAGACGTTGCTTTCAATGTGGAAAATTGGATCATATAAAATATCAATGTCCTCTGTTAAGGAAAGAAAAAACATCCCTCTTTGTGAGCAAGATGAAAGAAACACCACAGGCAGAACAGGATACTGTTTCGAAAGAGAGTTCAGGCTTGGAGCCACAAGAGAAACAATGTTTGTTCATCTTGTCAGGCAGCCCATTTAAAGATTACTTGGAATCCATCAGTATTGACAACAAGGACCGGAAGGGACTCAGAGACACAGGTTCAGAAGTGTGTTTAGTGAATCCTGAAATAGTACCTCAGGAATTTCAACAGCCAACCTCTGAAGTAAAGCTAAAAGGTTTAGGACCTGCGATTCCAACTGCGGTCGTGACCTTACCAATAGAATATGATGGATGGAAAGGTATGTGGGACTTTGCAGTTAGTCCTGACATACCATACGAATGCTTAATTGGAAACAATTTGGCTGAGAGGATTAAGAGCGAGAAGATGGCGTGTGAGGAGAAGGAATATAACATCGAAACCCCTGAACCAGCAGCCCTATGTTTTGCCGTACAGCATGATGGAAGTGAGGGTCCGGAGTCCAGTTCTACAGTTGCTGAGCTTGTTAGTAAGACGGGAGGAGTTGAGGAGATTCGGCAGGAACAAAGAGCCGATAATTCTCTTAAGCCTCTATTCGCGGCAGCTCAAAACACCCAGGTATCAACAAAGGAACAGCCCTCCGAGTTTGTGCTAAAGAAGGGTGTATTATACAGAGAAACCAGAAGAGTACCCTCGACAGAAGGATCAGTGTCAGATAGTCAAATTGTAGTGCCTCAAAAATTTAGAGAACAGCTAATGAGGGTGGCACACGAAAACCCTCAAGGTGGACATTTGGGTGTGAGAAAAACCACGAGTAGGATCACTAGGAATTTTTATTGGCCTGGCATGTTCCAGAGAATAAAAGAATTCTGCCAGTCATGTGATACATGCCAAAGACAAACTACAGGGAGGGATAAGACCAAAGCACCTCTTATCCCTATGCCTTTAATTGGAGAGCCATTCTACAGAGTGGGAATTGACATAATTGGTCCCCTCAACAAGCCAAGCAGACGTGGCTATAGATACATCTTAACTATGATAGACTATGCTACGAGGTATCCCGAAGCAATAGCTCTCACTAACTTCGAGACTACAACTGTAGCTAATGCTTTATTGTCTATCTGGGGAAGGACTGGATACCCCAAGGAACTGGTATCTGACTTAGGGACCCAGTTTACCTCAAAGCTCATGACAAAACTGCTTGAGCTATGCGGAATTCGACATCTTACATCAACGGCATACCACCCCCAAACCAATGGGTTGGTTGAAAATCTGAATAAGACACTGATTAAGATGATAAAGTCATATTGCCAAGAAAGACCATTTGATTGGGACAATAAGCTTCAACAGCTATTATTTGCTTATAGAACCGTCCCTCAGGACAGTACAGGATACAGTCCTTTTGAACTGTTATATGGCAGGAAGGCTCGAGGACCGTTAGATTTGGTTAAAGAATTCTGGGAAGCCAGCCCAGTAACAGAACCGGTTCCTGTAGATGATTATTTGAAAGATCTTCAATCAACAATGCGGTTAGTCAGAGACATTGCACAAGAGCATCTAACTGCAGCACAACATCGGCAAAAAGACTATTACGATGCAACGGCCAAACCAAGAAACTTCAATGTGGGAGACGAAGTCCTGTTTTTGTCGCCCAACAGAACCAGCAAGCTTCAACTAGATTGGTCGGGACCATGGAGAGTCACCAGAAAGCACAACCAAGTGAACTATGACATCTATGATGAACATTTAAATGTTGAAAGGAGAGTCCATGTAAATATGTTAAAACCTTATGTTGTAAGGTCTGCGAATGTATGTTTTGTTGTTGCGGAAGAAGAATCCGGTCCCTTTTCTTTTTGGGAGGGTGATCGTGAACAGTGTAAAAATTTGGATCGGGTAGATATGAACATAGAATTGTCTAACAAGCAGCGTAGAGAGGTCGTAGAAGTGTTAAGTAAATATAGAGGCATATTTTCGGATTTGCCAGGAAAAGTCCAAGGGGTTCAGCATCAGATAAACACCGGTGATGCCACTCCTATAATCTCTCCACCTTACAGGGTTACTGGAAGAATTAATGAGTGTATTGAGAAAGAAATTAGAGAAATGTTGGATCTAGGCATTATTGTTCCTTCGGTTAGCTCTTGGGCTTCACCTATAGTGTTAGTGCAGAAGCCAGATAAAACAGTTAGGTTTTGTGTAGACTATAGAAAGTTAAATAAAGTAACCCAAACCGACACATATCCTATGCCACGTTTGGACGATCTACTAGAAAGGATGGGGAAGGCCAACTTTATTAGTAGCATCGATCTAACTAAGGGATTTTGGCAAGTGCCAATGGCACCACAGGATCGACACAAAACCGCTTTTCGGACCCAAAGTCGATTGTATGTGTTCTGTGTCCTTC